TGAGCTCAAGTTGGATGAGTTACGCGTAGTAAATCGTAGGTATTATAAGGCTAGTAAATGACGAATTTCCCTTGTTTATTGATGTCACACTCCTCCCTATTATACACTCCTGATATATATATAAGTAAATCTTTATCAGAAAAACTAGCCCTAAAAAAATTGGGATAAATTTTTTTAGGGCACTTTGAAATTAAATGGGGATCCGGACCCCCGGACACCCCCTCTCTAACTCAACCCCTGCTTAAAGAAATCTATGCGAAAGAGGAATCGCTTGTTCCGAAGGGCCAAGCATTCTAAAATGCTTGTTAATTGATATAGATATCACCATCAAAGCAATTTTGTCTCCCAATTGAATTGTGTACTCCCTCAAGATTGCAGGGCTGCCAACTCTCACGCATTCGGAGTGAGACTCGAGCAATTGAGGCTAATCTCACGCTCTCACTCCATGTCTGCTAATTCTCACACATACAGAAACGTTTTGATATCGTCATCTATATATATACTGTACATGTACCTAATCCATCTAAAAGCAGAACTACAGTGTATTGTATTACATACATGTGTATGTTTAAAAATTCACTTAAGTATGCACCAGAATGCATCATTTTCAAGCTGAAAAATGCAAAAGCTTCAGGTCTGGGAGGGGGGGTGCCCCCCTCCCACGGCATACACTCCCCCGCTCGGTCACTCCACTCCCTCACATAATCTCACTTTAAACTCTAACTCAATGTTGGCAGCCCTGACGTCTAAAATCACAGGCACTTGGAACGTCTCAATAAAATTAAAAAAAGGTAAATAAACACAAAATGTATTTACTTCCAAAGTCTCAATGTTTCTCTACTCTCCTTCGCCTATTATTGCCGATAACTTTCTGTAAATGCCATTCAAATGCTCCTCTACAACACACATGCAAGTACACCGCCCTGTGCACAAACAACAAGAATAATAAATTCTCGAAGAAACTCTATTATTCTTGTTGTTTCAAACATTTCTTTAGGAAGAGCCTATATACGTGAATATCTATTGTACATTGTTTGTGTTTTGTGTTGTTATGTATTGTACATTGTATTGTACATGAATTGTATTAGCTGCGTTCACACGAGATTCACAGCCTCGCTGGTTCTGTACTTATCTGGTGCTGAATTCGGCTGAAATACCGTGCTAACATAACCCGGAGCGTTCACACGAGAATCGAGGCTTAGCTGGCTAGGTATAATATAGACTGGTACCCGGTCGACAGTTCCACACGCTACACTAACGTCGTGTAGCGAGCGGGTACTAGTATACAGTAAGAGGCCTCAAATTGCGTTCACAGGACAGACAATATGCGGCCAGCATGGTGCCGAATGTTTCAGCGCGGAATGTGATTCCGCGCCGAATAAGCCGCATATTTCAGTACGGTACTGAATAAGCCGCGTATAAGTCTTGAATATTTTTAGCGTGTNTCTTTTTGCGGTCTTGAATTCCTGCTTACTCATACTTAGCTCGTTGTACCATAAATACTATCACAACGCGAGATAGCAGTTGCGTACACATTATTTTACCAAACGTTTTTTTATTGCAGAGAGAGAGACAGGGAGAGCAGAGCAGAGAGAGAGAGAGAGGAGAGAGAGAAGAGAGGAGAGGAAAAAGTGAGAGAGAGAGAGAGAAGAGAGAGAGACGAGCAGAGGAGAGAGAGAGAAAGAGAGAGAGCAGAGGTGAGATGCACGAGAGCGACAGAGAGAGAGGAGCAGGACGGAGGACGAGAAAGACCTCACGCGCGCCGCGCGCGAGAGAGAGAGAGAGAGAGAGAGAGAGAGAGTCAGTCAGTCAGACTAAATTTTCTTCTGATATTTTGCCTAGCGTGACTCGTGATACCCTGATAGAAATGCGTGAAAGCATCTGTTTATTTACTGTGAACCGTTATATTTTATTTAGCGTTTAGCGTGAATTTATTTTTCAATGATTTTAAACGAATTTTTGATCTATTGATTCAATCATTTTCACACACTGTCATCCAGCGTAGACTGGTCCTCGTCTCGACATATGTCTATTGAGATATCTCTACTCACAAGCTTAGTACATCAGTGGCGGATTTAGGGTAGCGGATTGGGTGGCTAGCTACCCCGGCCCTCTCAGTGTTTGACTAACAATATTTTTACATAGTCGCGCGGCTGTACAAAACGTCACCTGATGCTCAGGTTAAATTATATTTTGAGTGGCAAAGCAGGTATAACAACCCTTTTGCAGCTTAATTTTTCACAATTCCAAGAAAGAGTTTTGCTGTCGCCCTCATCCCAGCGGTGGTCACGACTACACATTGAATAATGAACGCGACTTAAAGGCCACAATGCCGTGATGTGATGTGATGTACAATGAGTGATGTGTGTGTGTTTGAGCACACACACGCGCCCACACGCACCCACACACGCATACGCTCGCTCGCACGCACGCACGCACGTACACAGAGAGGGAGAGAGAGAAAGTGAGAGTTTAATAATGTGCGTTAGTTCAACATGTCTTGATAATAAAACGAAAATTACATGATTAGTTATATATCTTTAGTGATCACATGATTCACATCTTGTTGCTCATGAAGAGAATAGTTCTACTAAAAAGATAATTATCGTAGTCCAAATGAAGGCTGTACATTTACTCAAAAGTGCCTCAAATTACCATCTCCTGCGATCTACATTTTCAAAATTTTCTGGGAGAGGACGCCCATGCCAGACACCGCGCCTCTGTGCGTACACAGTGGTACACATCCATTTCACCCTAGCCCCTGGATAGATAGATATCCGCATAGAAATAGATAACAAACCATAGAACATAGCAATACTAGAAACCATAACTTCACGAATTTAAACAAATCACAATTCAAACATTTATTTTAACAGTGTGTATATATGAATAATTACCTAAATAAATAAAGATTCGTTCAACTATCCATTTCCATGGCTCTCTGCCTTGGCTCGCTGTGGTCTCTGTTTATAAATCGCCTCAAGAGATGGCGCGGGTGTTAGTGGCAGATAGACTGGTGCTCGCTCCCAATTCTCGGCTTAGCTCTGGTTTACTCGTTATTGGAAGTCGGCGGTCACTCGCGACGCGGGCATTGCAGATTTACTACACCGCATTTTTACTTGTATTTTTGTTTTATATCTGTCTATAACTAAATCTGCCGAAATGTCTGTACCTCCTAAAATATTCGCCGCTGGAGAGGATTGCAAGAGCAATTGGAAAGATGCGACATCAGACTTCGATGTAGTCGACCAGCACCTGGAAATTATGGGGAAACCAGTCATGGAGCGTTGGGAAACGCCGTTCATGCACAAGTTGGCTTCTATTTCGGCTAGCAAAGGTATAACTCCCTCATAACTTATAAGGATTAGTCTTGAAAGTCTAAGAATGTAAGAAACTATATCGAAGATGGAGAGAGACAAAGTTGATCAAATAGAAATATTACGATTTCCTGTTTGCAAAAGAAAAAGCTTCAGTTCGTAGGCAAACTCCAAAGGGGCAAAGAAAAGGAAATTTCCGACGTGGAAATATAGCCTAGAGGCTAGATGTCACTGTTAGTGTTAATGTCAATAATGACCATGATAATACTATTTTATTTATATATTATACAGTGTTTCCCCTGCATTGACACGAGCGAGGCGACCCGCCTCACTCAAATTCTCAGCCGCCACACAGAAATTTTGGCCCAAGGATAGAGAACATGGGTCCCAATAAAACCAATGTGCCTAACCCTAACCCTAATTATAACTCTAACCCTAACCCTAACCCTAATCCTAACCCTAACCCTAACCATAACCCTAATATTTTGGCCCAAGGATAGAGAACATGGGTCCCAATAAAACCAATGTGCCTAACCCTAACCCTAACCCTAATTCTAACCCTAACCCTAATCCTAACCCTAACCCTAACCATAACCCTAACCTATTATATTGATATAATATTATATTTATATTGATGTAAATGACATTGGTTTTATTGGGACCCGTATACATGTTCTCTATCCTTGAACCGAAATGTGTCCAAAACACCGCCTCGCTGACAATACTTTTGACAACTTAAAAAAGAGATTCAAGAGTATTATACAATGAATGTCACATTGAATGTGTTCGGAATAGCTTAGAATGCACAAAATTGCAAGATTTTTTTTACAAATTTCCCGGGGGAGCATGCCCCCGGACCCCTTAGCTTGGCCAGCACCAGCGCTGCTCGCTATGCTAGGACCTCGAAGCGCGCAAACACATCACAAAAAACATTTACTGCATCACACACCTTTTTGGCCAGGGGAAACACTTCATTGAAATATACCAGACTGATGGTTCAAGAAACAACTCCTCATGGCATTGCACACGTCATTTCTGAAGCTTGTTTACATGCTGCACATATAGGCTATAATGTATTCAGTAACAAGGTATAAGGTAACAAGTGACTACCTACTAATCATGGAAGGTTGATACAAATCAAAATGTTACTTTTTTAATACTTTTTTCTGGACAGATTTTATATTTTTTGGTAATATCCTGAGTGGCAGCACTGGACGTAGACTTTCACTTGTCCCGGGCAATCGGACAACCGTTAGTGCCGAGGGCTGAATGAGACAGATTTGATCCAGATGGGTGTATATCTAAAATCATAGGGACAGACTCCATCTATCCAGGTTGGTGTCTAAAAGCTATCTAATAGTTCTGAGGTTGTTTTGGCTTTAAAACTTAATTGACCCCCATAAACTTTCTACTGCAATCCACAGTATTGATCCATGTATTTTATCAACTTTGACCCTCTCCATCTTCGCTATATAGGCCTATTCGACTTTTAAAGACCGAGTCTTATGAGGTTAGGGATATGGAAGGGTAAGTTGTTTGCATCACGGACATATAATGTATAATGTTCATGCTTGTGTTATTGGGTTTATTTTTGATAGATGGCTATTTACCTGTTGGAAAAATGTTGAAATCTTAAATGAGTGTCTGTAAAGTGCAAGTGCCGTTTACAGGATGGTCTTTGTTCAATGTACCCTCCTTCTATTCAGTTTTTGCCTGAAGTGCATTTATACAGTTTAGGGTACGTGTCGGGCGTTTCTATCAACGTCACACTTACTGATCGAACTGTTAGCTGCCCAAGGTTATACTTTGTGTCCTACTCTTATCCGGGTTTTATCAACACATGTACATAACTACGCACTTTGCTGAAAAAAACTTTTGATGTTAACGGTAGGAACAGACGATGATTGGGCGTCTGTTTACTTCAGATAGGTCTGTCTGCTCTGTGTGCGCTGGATTGCCCAAGATAATATATGTGATCTTGCTGTAGGCATATTTTTAAAGGCGTATTTACTTTGTTTTACGCCGTAGCGATTTCCGCCACAATAGGTGGTGGATAGGCACTATAGTTTATGACTGAGCTAGTTAATAATTTAGATGATATCTGAATCTTGATCTGATATCTGAAATCTTTATCTGATTGTAGTTACTTGTAATTTAGTATTAATATCAAATATCAATATTATAATTAATTACAGTATTATAAATGTAATAACTGGTCTGATCCTAATTGTAGCTGAAGAGTCTAACTGGCGAGGTGGCGGTTTGTTTCAGGGGGCCGTGTGCTAGAGATAGGTTTTGGAATGGCAATTGCTGCAACCAAGATCGAAGAGTTTGATATTGATGAGCATGTGATCATCGAATGCAACGACGGAGTCTTCCAAAGATTGGAGAAGTGGAAGGTAAATCTTCATTGTAAAATTTTTAAAATTTCGATTTTAAAACCCAAACGTTATAAGCATTCTTTAAAAAAATCTGTGAGTAATCTCGGAGTTAGTTTAAATACTAATAATGCTGCATTTTATAATGATGCAGTTCATTTTGAGCTCAGCTTGACATCATCAAGCTGAGCTATTGCCATGGGTCGTTGTCCGTCGTACGTCCGTCCGTCCGTCGTCCGTCCGTCCGTCAACATTTCGCTACGGTCAACGATAACTCAGAAACCGTTTGGCCCAAATGTTTGAAATTGGGTATAGTTGTTACTGCTATGCTCCCATATTAAACGTCCTATTTTGGAGCACGCCAGTCGACGTACTTTCGAGCCATGGCAATTTTTTGGCAAAAATGGGAATTGCCATTAGTCAGTTCAGGTTCAACGGATTTTTGGTATGTGAATGAATAAGGGCTAGGGGTTTTGATATTTAAAAAAAAATTATGCAAATTAGGTAGGGTTTGGCAATTATATAGCATATTATATAGACACAAACAGTCTGTGGTATCACACTCGTCTGGTTCGTTTTACAAGATTTCATTGACAATATCTTTAATGCAAAATTGGTATTTCCTCTCCACCCTGCCGATAAAACGTCTATATTAGAGTAAAGATTTACAAAATATGTCGGAACGCAGCATAACCTATTTATTTCAAACGCCATCGCTACAAAGCGGGTATAGCGCCATCTACGGTCACAAATTGTGATTCATTTTGGTTTATAAATTATTATTGCGATATACAGATGGCAATCGTTTCTATAATGTACGTCAATGGTTGCTCAATTAAAACTGACTTCTTCTTGCTCACTCATTTGTGCCCTTTTTTAGCTCATCTGACATAGTCAGATGCAGCTTGTAGAATTGCATGATCGTCCGTCCGTCCATGCGAGCGTCCGTCCGTCCGTCCATGCGAGCGTCCGTCCGTCCGTCAACAGTTGGGCACAAATCTTAACCGCTCGATGTACGGTCACGATATTCGGGACGTGGGGGGGTAATCCGAAAACGAGTTGGGATGTCGAAGCTGGAGGTCAAAGGTCAAAGGTCAACAGGTGTAAAAGAAGGGGGAACATTCACTTCTTAATTTAAGGTATAGGGAGGAAATGCAGAATTGCGGCACAAATCTAAACGGCTCGACCTATAGGCTTGTGATAGTCGGTGTATAGCATCATGGTAGGAAAAGCCATCACTGTGCCAAAATTGGAGGTCACAGGTCAAAGGTCAATGGGCACAGGGCAAATTTTAGACATTTTCTGAGGACATGGTCTGACGGAGCGATTGAAAAACTTTTTTGTTTCAGCGGTGACCTAGCATTTTTATGGCTTTATTGAAAGGACCATGAAATGTACCTTCTGCTGACATGCGAAGAGTAAGTGTCGGATAACCTTTTGACCCTCAAGAGGAGGGTTAAACATGGATTTGTTTACTGTCTGTTAGAAAGAATTTGACTGCCGGGTTTGCTAGTAGAATCTATACATGCCTGGATGTATGAGGCTACAATGTCACAGTGAAATTTCAAAAGCTAAATTTGGTTGAAGAAGGTTTATGCTCCTTAAATCGTATAATTTCTATGGCATTCTGTACTGTCAGTATGTTACATGTAACGTATGCCACTGCCAGTGCATGTGGTGGTGGTACTGTGTAGTTTTTGCCTGCGTTAATTGGTTACAGGTGGCAGCTCTCTATTGCAGCCTCTAGGCTTGCGTAGGTAAATGGATGAGTGCTTACCTATTCTGTCTTGCAAATAGTTGTTGCTACTACGTACGATGGGAGCTTCCATCTTTAATCTGAAGACACTTAAACGTACGCGCCATCTCGTGGCAACTTTCATAACGATCCCAACGAACATTCCTTTGAGAAGGTTCCTGATACCATCCCTGTGCATTCCACTGTTTCGGCGTGTATGTGAACACATTTGGGACTAACAGGGTTTACTAGAATCCCACCACTCCACCACAGAGTCACCGCAGTAGACGTTAGATGAGCGCTGTCGCTCCGCGGCACTTGTTGTGGTGAGCTACAGTGTCATTGACACTTTCATTAATACTACCAGGCAGACCAGAAACACAAGATTACACCGCTGAAAGGAATGTGGGAAGACGTGTCGCCAACATTGGAAGATGGAACATTTGATGGTATGAAACATAAAACTCGGGGACGTGAATTTAGAAACCGTTCAACCCGTGAAAGTCTAAATCTGTCCTGATCGCTTAGCTAGGTAGTGTAAAGTGTAGTAGAACACACGGCAAACGTGTTGCCCGCGTTACGCAGACTTGCTAGGAACAGAGGCCCATTGTTGCAAACAAATCTAGTCTTAACATCAATGACTCAATCATTCATTGTTGATTCACATCGACATGAACTTTTGCTCGTGCACCCGACCTCCGAAACCCGCGCGCGAGAACGTCATAGTTTCGTCGCGTTTCTGTGGACGACGCGAGAGAGGACGTTGGAATGCGATCTTGTTTTCCGACGTCGGCGTTCTTTCCACTCGCAGGCATCCTGTATGACACGCGCGCTGAGAGGAAAATCTTACCGGTTGATCGATCGATCAATTGATTATTTTCTCATACACATGACCTCCACACGCCGCGCGCGAAAACGTCATTGCTTTCTGTCAACGACGCACGACGTCGGGATGTGATCTTGATTTGCGACGACGGGATGCTATCTAGTTTTTCGATGACGCGACGCGATCTTGTTTTTCGACGATGGGACACTATTTTGTTTTGCGACGTCGACGCGGCTCTCCCCCTCCCGCAGGCATCCTGTACGACACATACCCGCTGAGCGAGGACTCGTGGCACACGCACCAGTTTGACTTCATCAGGCAGCACGCGTTTCGCCTGCTGAAGGCCGGCGGCGTGCTCACCTACACGAACCTGACCTCGATGGGCGAGCTGATGAAGACCAAGTACGACGACATCGAGAAGATGTTCCAGGTAGGATTGATTATTGATTGATTGATTTATTGATTTTTGATTGATCATTGATTGATGATTTTTGAGTGCGCTGAGAGGAAAATCGTAATGGTTTGAGTGATCGATCGATTGGTTATTGATTGATTGGTTATTCCTCGTGAGCAAGCTGAGAGAAAATCCTACTGCTTGATTGATCGATTGATTGATTGATTCCTCGTGCGAGCGCTGAGAGGAAAATCCTACCAGTTAATGGATCGATTGATTATTGATTGATTGATTCCTCGTACAGATTGATCGATTGATTATTGATCGATCATTGATGCTTCTTGCATGCGTTTGCACACATTGAGTTGGGGAGAGACTTTCCGGTGTAGCATGGTTTTCATCTCCTCGATGGCAAAAACATTCCCCCTCTGCATTGCTCATGGGGCATGTCTAGCAGTGCACATCGCAACTGTGCGCGCACATTTAACCATTATTGCCCTTCTTGTGTAACATAAATGGTGGACATTTGCCTTGGGGGGTAGTGCGTACCATGCCACGCCGATTACACTGGAGAGTGAAATCAACCGGTTTCGATTTTTACGCGTAATGATGTTGGTTGCTTGCAGGAAACGCAGGTAGCAAAGCTGGTGGAAGCCGGATTCAAGAAAGAGAATATCAGTACCGAACTGGTGCCAATGTCACCGCCGCCGGAGTGCAGGTATACAAACAATTTCTAAATGAATTGTAGTGCATTGTTTTCTTCTAAATTTACAATCGTGTAAATCACGCATCTGTAAATATTTACTAGTATACGGCATACATATACGTATCTATACGTAACATCTACATACATATCTGTACATATACATATCTACGGATACATCTATGTAGAGATCTGGGTGTTGTACTTATTGTATTAGGTGCTCATGTGTCCAGGTTTATGCTGAATTGTTACTTACGTCCCCTACGTCTTCGGATAAGTTAGATGTGTCATCGGGAATTCACTCTGTATCTACTTGCTTTCTTACTGCAGGTACTATTCCTACAAAATGATGATTGCCCCAACCGTCGTAAAGCAGTGATGTCAGGTGACGCAGCCCACGTCGTTCAAATTGCTATAGGCAAGACTACAGAGTCGTTTTAAATGTCGAGACCAAGACGAAGATGAATGCAAGTGTTTGGCCTTGACTGTGAGCTGTAAAGCGCACTGTTACGTTTACGTTGAAAGGTTCTGTGATAGTTGGTGACTGTTTTTACTAAATTTTTGTTTTTGATGTCTAAATTGTCTAACTACCTTTGTTTCCAACAATGGGCCTCTGTTCCTAGCAAGTCTGCGTAATGCGGGTAATACGTCGGCAATACGTTCGCCATGTGTTCTACTACACTTTACACTACCTAGCCAACCGATTGGGATAGATTTCGACTATTATAAGTTGGTGTAGGTTGTGTATTAGACATTCCGTGCTGAATTATAGTACGACCAACTTTAAATTACTTTCATCGCGTGCGCGCCGTTGCATTTCACGCCGGCCATCGATAGCTATTACCGATCACATCTCACTTTGCAAAGGTAAAAATGCAATTCTGTACTACTTGTGTCAAGGTATATGCCATTTTTGTGGTCACATGCAGTATCATTTAATAAAAGTATTGATTGAAATATTTGTTGTTATATCAATATGATTAACATGCATACATAATAAAATCTAGTACCAAATGTACCTGCATATATATATATATATATTAATTTTAATATCAACTGGTATGTTCTTGCTGCATAAAATATAAATAAGCTACCAGATACAACTTAATCGGCGCGCTACATTTGACGTCATGTATCCATAATCTTCTTTGCTTTTATTTCTAACGTGTCGTCCATCTTTTCTTTCATACGTATGATACTGTCCAGGTTGTCTAGCTGTTGCTGAAGCCATGTTCTCTGCTTTTCTGGTGAAAGGTTTCGTATGCTCATCAAACCTGGGAAAAATAAATAACACATCCAAAGAGTTAGATTCTGGAAGCATCAACTAAACGGAAAGTTGACGATTCCTACCACGAGGTGGCAGCACCTGGCAGCCGTACCATCGTGAGATTGACGAGCACGAATGCTGTTGTTACCTTTGATGCGATCAGGCATGTCACACCACGGCGTGAAGCTGATATCACAGTGCAGCTGTACGTTGATGACAAGACAGGGAGCTTCCTCTATGTGGAGCAGCATCTTTGATTCAATGTTGAACTGAACAGTGTCCAGGCCCGTACGTCGGTCTCGTTTCTCGTTCTGCCACGTAAACGTAAACAACACATAGGGACGATCACAAATTTTTTTACACTGGAATCACAAATCTGATGACAAATTCTAGCACCTGGGACGACAAACGTTACTACACTACCGCCCTACTAACTGCTATCTACTGTACAAAATATATACTGCTGCCAGCAGTTACTTGTGTGGGGGCATTTAGGCAACACAGGGCATTTCACTAACAGAAATGTATCCCCTGAAGAAAAACGCACACTCCAAAATCGTCACCTCCTGTAATGTCACAAGAAAACCTCACAAGAAAGCGTCACCTCCCGTAATGTTACACACAAAAACTCACAAGAAAGCATCACCCCCCAAAATGTTACCCACTACCCAGCACACAGTAAAAGCATGTCTCATGTTGAATATCATCTCGACGCGCCGCACGCACCACACGCGCGACTCAAGAGAAGCGAAATTCGCGCGGGATGCTCACCTGTCTTTGCTCGACGGTACGAATCATGTCGCGCGAGCGAACGTCCTTCTTGTGCATGTGCAGAAATGTGCCGTTTGTTCCCGTCGTGATACCGACCGGTCTGCTAACCTAACGAAATTCGATGGAACATTACGTCTACGTTTAATTACGGACAAACGACTAGGAATCACAATCGACTAACTGCACAGCGAAGTCATGACTATACCATTGCAGGGCTCCCTCTGGATGTTTTAAAGTTTGAGCCAAGACTTGAGCAACAAAAGTGATTTTTAGCCACCAATGCAAAAGTATAGCCACTATTCACTTTATCGTATGTGCTAAGCAAGGCATAAACAGGCGATAGGTATCAGAAAAAAGGTGTTAGAAAAATTTTATGAAACGACACTGCAAATTGACGATTTCGTTAGTCAATTCTAATTTTCTGAGCAGTGAAATCATTCGCCAATTGTATTCGTGACTTAGTGTAGTAAAATCGCCACTGTTATTTATTGATCGTATTTTGCGAGGGGTGGCGGACCACCAGCAGTAGCCCTGCCATTCAGTGATCACTTACTTTGTGAATGTATCTACAATGTAGTGTTCATGGTTACACTAAAGATCTTTTGGTTTGCACTGTGAATGCTCAACACGTTACGTCTCCTGAGGATATGTAATACGATTCTCAATTTCACTATTTCCACTGTCAACCTCTGTCTCACACGGCATTCACAGTTGTGCTATACTTACATTCATCTTGGCATCTATAATTCTTCGGTAGAATTCATCATCCTCTCTCCCCCACCCCCAAAACTTGTTGGACATGCCGTTCAGCTGAAGTACGAAAGTATCAGCATGAGAATGCTAAATTGGCTTTCAGGAGACGTTTTCACCACCTGACTGTGTTCTCTAGGCAATAGCTTTGACAGAACGTCCAACTTAATCTTTCTAATTGTATCAGATTCGGCTTTTTCGCTAATAACAAACACGTGCACACTCTATTGCAGTGTGTTACTCACTGCATATCTTTTTAGCGATGATAAATTTTTTAACTAGCATAGCTTTCAACTTTTCATTTACTAGTCATGCATTCGTACTGAAGTACGTAACTAACGTATTTAATTGCACTCGCTTTTTGAAAGTGTTTGTTCGCCACCAACAGAATTCCTCCGACGAAAGTCTTGTAGTGATATTTCGGGTGTAAATCAGGTGCCGCTATGTGAAACGGACCCCGTTCGGGGTAGGCATAGCTCAGATTCGCATTCAGGGGTAAGAGATCAACGTCGTGCATTGCAATGTAGTCACAGAGCTGCTTGCTCTGCAGGAAACCAACATTGATGAGGGACGCACGGTTGAACCTATCAGAAAAGACAAGTTTGCTTTGATACATCTACGTGCGAATCTGAAGCACGCAGAAATGTAATGCAGCAATGGATCAAACGCCTCCAGATGGACGCATTCAAACCACGACACGAAATTGATCACGATGTCAACACACAGGTTTGACGAATATCCTATCATCTTTACTTTAACCACCTTTTTTGACCATATCTAATGCAAAGGAGCAAAAAGCCTAGAGAACATATAGGCAGGCATGTACAACCTTTGCAAATAGGCAGAGCCACATGTGATTTAGACGGTAATATTATTATATAATTAATACATGTAGATTAAATAACATAATTGCTCAGCACCTTCATACCTGTAGTTATCAACCTGGTTAACGATATAGATAATGTGCCGAACTTTTTGCTCATTCAGAAATCTGTGCAGGTATGGCACAAACTTCTGCAGCTGTTCGAATCTGTCTCGGAATGGTACGATCACGGCCAGCCGATGCGGCCCCCAGCTCAGGTTATCTGGCAGGTCTTCCACGCGGCTTGCTAAACAATTAAGGCACAGTAAACTGTAGTGTTGCACTTCGCGGTCGATAGATACGTTCAAATGGACTTGGACATTCGTATTTTGCAAAGCAAATGAGTGCCGCCGCTTCACGCAAAGTAGTTGCACATGCGTGCAAATATAGTAAGATTTTTTTTTAATTACAAGATGGTACTAATTAAATGCACAGATCTTTCTCATTTTGCCATCATTCTATAGTAAAATACAGTCAATCTGTGATAGTTGGAAGGACTGCATATTGGGTGGGACAAAGGCAATGAAATACTGCTGCAATATTTTCTCATGTTTCTGTTAAAAAACTCAATTTGGTGAAACAATGATAAGCACATGTATGTATGTTGTTACAGACAGTCTATAATGTTGAAATATACACAAGAAAATGGAAGTTATGGTGAGTTTTTGCAAACAGATATATTGGAACACTTCAACAGTCTAGAATTTGTGCGATTTTTTCCGGTGACATGTTTTTGACGACAATACACAGAGAACAAAACGTCAGTTTTAAAAATTTGTCGCACCTTACCAATTGCCATTTTCTCCAGTTTCAGATCCATAACATTCTTTTCTGGACAAGCACAATCACGCTGGCTTTTGATTGGTTGGAATGCGAGTAGACAGGTGATAACAACTGTTACCAGTACACACAGAGTCAGACATCTTACCCACGGCGTTCTCAACAACCTCATCTCATGATAAATTGGCATAGGCTGCCGTCTTGCCTAGGCACTATACCTGGATATTGGCTGACCAAACATAAACCTAAATGAGAAACAAAAATGTAAGTGGAAATTAAACATTAAAGTTAGATAAACCGTAGAAGGCTGCATCAATGGTTATACTTATAGCGACTATAGCTAGTAACTGTAGTATGTTATTTTGATAATTCCATGAGAGAGATGCAGGATCTAGTACTATAGGATATATAAACATGTAAAGGATGAAGGCTATTAACTATTAGTGCTAGAGCTTATGTGCTGCTAATGCTATACCCATGTATCCCTTTGCTCTGCAACATACTGTGGTAGAAATAATGGGTTTTAAGTTTTAGAATTTAATGCCTGTGTCACCGTCAGTGTGTGTTTGTGTGTGTGTGTGTGTGTGTACGTGTGCGCGCTCGTACCTGCGTGCGTCCGTATCGCACATCGGTACAACTAATGCTGTCGCAGACAAATCAGTCAAATGCTAGAGTAGAGATAAACCGACCAGGCTCGCCGACTGTTACACGGCGGAGGAGGCCAACGTAGTGTTAAGCGAGAAGGGAACTTGTGGCTAGAGTAGAGATAGCTCTAGTACTATAGCCCGCTTTCATTAACTAAATAACTTGACGTCACCCAAAATGTACTACTACTACTATTAGGCTGAATCATAGCTGCCCATGTGTTTTGCCTACATTTCGGGTGACGTCATTGCGAGTACACAAAAGCATTTCAAAACGAAACGCAAGTAGTGCTAGCACTTTGTGGAATAAATGGATAAATACATGGTGTAAAGTTGTGGAAAGGGTTCAAAAAGATAGGTGAGATGTCCATGTAGATAAATAAGTGTTAAAAAGCCCGATCATTTTCCGTTTTGTGAGCCATTTCGAGTATAACCTGTCAGGACCCGGTGTTGCTGTGAAATCCAGCGAGTCTTACAATACCCCCTGGGTCTCGCTTGTATGTGTGGCGCTGCAGGAGGCCTGATAGACTCGCTCTGATTGGTCTGATTGTTTGTAAATGGCGAACGTAATTTACTAGATTTTTTTTTTTTAGATTTTAAAATTTATTTACGCTTTCAAGTATATTACATTTTTACATATATCACAACAGATTTTTTGAAATAAGTACAGCGAGGGAGGGCGAATTGACTATACAGTCTTCAAGTCAGCCACTCCGCAATACTAAAGTTAAATGAAGCGGGGTTTCTGAAAAACAATCTTTTAAGAAGTGAATAACGATTGAAGTGAATGTATACACATATCAGTAGCAAGGTAAAGCCATGTAGAAGGGAACGGTAGGTTTTTTTTCGCGCCAATAGCGGCGTACGGGCCGCATTAGCAGCGCATGCATTTTGCATGCAATCTCACGAAATTTCAATAAGCCCCGTTTTGTCCCAATAACCCTCACCAAATTATAAAAAAGGTTATATGGGACAGAATTATTCGGTCTAGAGTAGAGACAGCTTTCATTAATCTGATTTTCATTAGGCCTACTGACTACACTTTACAGCTACAAATATAGGGGGTACGGTAATGCTATAGTAACTAGAGCTATAACTGATTCTGTGAAGTATAACTATAAGTTGTTAATAGTGTCAATATTGTCACAGAATAATACAGACCATATACAGGTATATATAGTGCTTTGATAGTTGAGGACAGTTACAGGTAGTGTTACTGTTACTGGGCGCCGCCATTACACGATTTGCGTTGCCCTCTAGCGAGCAAAAAGTCGCACAAGTTCCATGCCTTCTATTTTAGTTCTATGAACAACACGTAAAGCTCTCAGACTCATGTATACATAATACAAGTTGGACTCGAGTATTTGTTTTTCGTAGGGTTTAATGGTTTTACTAAGAAATATTTAATATTTTTAAGAAACATACAAAAATTTCACCTCCCCAGTTAGGTACGGTAGCTTCTCCTCTATATCTATGCTCTACTCTAGTAGTAACCCGACCAGGCTGTGTGACTATGTGCTCTGCTAACGTCAATATTGACCCTAGCAATACCGTTTCTTGGAGCTACTCCAGTAGTAGTACTCTATATAGCGCGACCAGGCTGTGCGACGGATTGTCTATACGGTATTCTAACCCTAGCAATACCGTTTCTTGGAGCTATAGTACTCTATAGCCCGCGTTTCATAACTGCCGCAGGTACGCGGGCCCAAGGATGGAGAACATGGGTCCCAATAAAACCCGCGGGCTATAGTACTAGAACGGCCAAATCCTATTTGACAACCCCAGGTTTAAAAACCCTAACCCTAACCCTAACCCTAACACTAACCAAACTCACGACATGGGTGTGTAAACACTACTTTGACCACTAGTTGAGAGAGCTAGGTACCTAGAGCTAGGTACGGTATAGAGGGTTCCGCGACTTGGTCTAAAAATAGCAATATTACCTACAATCCCGTGCCGCCGGCCATACCGGTCACAAATCGAGCGAACACGCGTCACGTATAATGTGCCACTCTGCACAATCAACCGATTTTACATTGGCTATAGTGTTATTATTGCAATAGATATTAGAAGTAAGAGGATACCGATTTACCAGACAGCTAGGTTTATCAGCGTGGGTTTTAGGTGCTGCAGTTCAATGAGGCTGCCACACAGTCGGCAGATTCGTAGATTGAGCAGATCGGAAGATTGCACGCAACACATATTATGTTCATAGACTTGAGTTTGTTTACATCGTGAGAGTTCAGAAATTTCACCGATTTTACTGCATCTATTCTAGCTATCAAACGCAGCTTTTTATAATAGCTAGTGTATGCACGTTTGTCGACTGTCTGTAGTGTACGTAGTATGGATAAGTACTTTGATTCACTAGACAACGTAGCGAAAGCACGCTATCTCGAGAAAATTGCGCTCGACACGTCAGACTCGGTGTAACGTGAGTGGAACGGAACTGTTGAGCGCGGACCAGTTAATAATCATGATAATTTTCAGAGCTACATTTACAAGTTACTACAACTACAACTTACAAGTCTTCATTATGTCGGTGTTTTGGTTGCTTGTTTCGTTCTGGTGGTGTATGGGCGTAAACAATCCTACTGTTATAACTGGTAAGTCATCTGTGGAGTATTTAAGTGGCTTTGATACTTGGGAGTTTGAGAGAAGATAATTAAGAATTAGATGATAATTAGTTTATTAGTTATAAATATTGAAGTGAATAAAGTAGGCATCTACTGTCTGTATTATTATACAAGCAATTCAGTTATAAAAGGGTAGATTAGGTAGTTAAGAAATAAATCAATAAATTTTTGAGCTCATGTTATTTTAATTAATGTAATGCAATTAATGCATGTATTGGTAAATTGCATGCTTACTGGTAATTTTGATATGAAGCATTATGTGTGGTTTTTATTGATTTGTGTTTTCACTGTTTCAGTGTCAATGGATACACAATCTAACCTCAACAAGCAATCAAGTGCCTTGGCCATAGTTGACAAAAATGGTGGGAATGATAATGAAGAGGAGGTGACGGTCTCTGAGGAGGAGGTCATACAAAATATAAATGAATTTACTCCTACAAATGAGTGGAAAACAATTGAAGAAGGTAGGTTATGTTTATATTGGTATATCAGATGAACAAGGTAGTGCCATTTATTGTTACTGTTAGTAATTAACTGAATATCACATGGTACTGTAATTTAACCTATAATACAACATATTACTTAATTGCATGCAGTGGTTTATTTGTTGGCCAGCCCATTACAGTTGTGTATATTCTGTTGTTTTCTATTTTCAGGTCAGGTTATTCCTGCTGGGCTGCATGTGAGAATTGACCTGCAGACAGGTAAAAAGGAAGCAAAGCTGATTGACAAAAATAATGATGAACCTCTTGAAACAACCAGTGGTCCGGCCAGTATGTCCTTCACTCCAGAGGAGCTTAAGATGGCACTAAAGAATATGAAGTTGTCCCATGATGATGTCAAACATGGAGATGTTAGTTCTAAACTCGATTTGTCTCTAACGATATTTGAATTCAGTGAACATTAGCAGCTGAAGGAACTTTTAACATACCAATGTACACTTTCACATTGCAGTTGCCAATATTTTATTATTTTAAAACCAATGCGACCTGCTGCAATGACAACAAAATGTTATTTAGAGAACAGAACTGATATTATATTACGTTAATATTGTCATTTATCTTGACGAATGAATGACAAGGAATTAAGAATAATTTGGCACATTATCAGGCAAACTTTCAACTGCTTGATTGTTCGTAGAGGGGTCTGTGTCAATGATCTCTCTACATTGATCACTCTGTCAATATGCGAAGTTTACGTTTCATCTCGTGTAAACACCCTGCACAGGTACATCGCACAATGTCGCATAGTGAAAAGGCGGCAGGCACCGCGTTTCGTTCATACGCTGAGCTGAAGCGCACCCTTGGTGAGATGAGCATGAGAGAGGAGTCAGATGCCACCGTGATGGCTCGACTGCTAGCCGAATATGGAGCATCACACGACACTGAGAAGCGCCGGAACATTCTTGTTGACCTAGAGTACTACGTGCATCAGGTCAGTGCCATGGCTGAGGCTGGCCAATGTCCAGCTAGTTACTGCATCTAGCTGTTTACTTTACTAAAGAATAACGCATTTTGTAATTGAATTTCTTGTGCACTGCTACATATGTCTATTCGTTTTGTTATAATATTGTTAGAGCCTTTTCTTTATATTTTTATGTGAGAAAATTTTGTTCGTTTTAGATCGACAATGCACAGGATTTTGTGAAGATGGGAGGTTTGGCAGTTGTCAGAGAAGCACTGAACAGCAGCCATAGTGAGCTGAGAGCAGAGGCAGCACACGTGCTGGGATCTTCTCTGCAAAGGTACCATGCACCACATGGCTGCTGCAGTACAATACAAGGAGCAAGTATGCTTCCTGCAGTGAATAATAAATGTTGTCAAACAAATTATGGGGTTGTGATTATGTGAAATCATGCAGCATCTGTTACCTAGCGTAGAGGCATTATCTTATTGCCGTAATTAATATCTTTTATCAGAACTTAAATTTGCAATTGTGAGTGGTAAATTCAGCATTTGCCAATTAATGTACAATTACTGCACTTTAACAATTACAATTATGTACAATTAGTTGCAACAATAATAAATACCTTTTAAATAGAACTTAAATTTGCCATTGCGCAAAGTTGTCCAACTGTGGCCACTTAGCGTAGCATGAGCGCACACTTCCTACTTGCAGCAATCCGAAGGTTCAGGTCGCTGTGTTGGAAGCAGCAATGCTGCAACCTCTTATACACCGCCTCAATGAAATCCCAGCAGATCTGACGGAGAGGCGACGTATGCTCTATGCCATCTCCTGCCTTGTGCGTCACTTTCCACTCGCCCAGGAGAAATTTGTTTCGTACGGTGGGATTCAGGTACGTGCCGGTATTTTGAAACATTTGCGTAAGACTCAAACATAACTGGTACAAATCTAGTTAAAGTTCAGAGCACATCGTCAGCTGTGTCACATATATATACATATATGCATATATATACATGTACATATATATGCCATCAGGGTGTTTCGTAATCTAGGTGTCGGTGACTATAATATGTTATCTGTACTGTAAATGTGAGAGCAGTCTGTAGTGAACGTCTACATGTTTCATACACCAGGTACTTGTCGGCTTGTTTGAAAACTCCGGAGTACATAAGCTACAAGTGAAAGCCGTGGATTTGGTATCAGATCTTCTAGTAGAGAGGCATGGGATATTAGAAGACACAGTTCCTCTTAATAATGAGCTGTTACAGCAAAGATTGCAGCAGTATAACAGGTGGCAGCATTTATGCTTGTCTTATGTTTGTTTTATGGCTTATATAATTATATATATATATATATATATATATATATATATATATATATATAATATATATAGTGTGCGTGCGTGCGTGCGTGCGTGCGTGCGTGCGTGCGTGCGTGCGTGCGTGCGTGTGCGTGTGTGTGTGCATGTGTGTGCATGTGCTCATAATTGTGTTAATATATTATTAATTACCTATGGAAATTCAGTAATGTTATATTAAACAATTTTTGCTATTTGGCCCTCTTCCAATAGCAGTTGTTTGCCAGTGCTTACCAAGCATTAAGGACACTGTCCAGCTTTTGCAAGGATATTGCTCTAATGAAGATTAAATGTTTATTGACAAATAAATTGAATCGATCACATGTTTTATTTATAGATGAGATGTATGTCTATGCTCGTGCCGAAAAATTTCATGAAATTTCCAGAACCTAATCATGTGACAGCAAAAATGTTGAAATTTTATGTAAAAATGGTATTTTGGATATTTCTTAATTTCCACAACAAGTGAGAAAGCAAAACATTCGCCACAAGTTCAGCACGGTATGAATCAAGAAAGGGTGTCAGGATTTCACTTTAAGCTTTATATTTACAGAAAAAAAGTGAAAAAACTGCTTAAAATTTAAGTCGCATGTTTGAATTGAAAATATTTGCAAATAAAGAACCGTATATAACTCATAAAATAAGGCACTTAATAAAAATCCCTGATGTGCTTTTTTACAGCAATATTTAACCATTAAAATGAGTGTAAAATTTAATTATTCCGAGTTGTAATCACATAGAAATATCCATTTATACATCGGTTACTGTGGCAAAAATCCAAACGGGGAAATCAGCATTATTCTATTTTTCACAATCGACCGCCTGTGTGCAAAATAGGTGAACATGTGAAACGTCTACTGTTAGTACTTACTGCGACGTATCCATGACTAACTGAAACCATTAAATTGGTAAAATGTTCAGTGCACCTTGAGAAATTGAAAAATCCTGACTCACGGTTTTGGTGCATATTGTGCATTCCTTAAACAATAAAGATTGATGACAAAATCTGTGATTCACAGCTTTATACAATTGTGCACCTTGAGCAAGTACTGAGGTGAAAGTGAAATAGTGTTCTTCTACTGAAATTTTTTTTACTGTTATGTAGTGTAAATTTAGAGAAGGTACTACGTGATCAACTCTGGTGCAACCGGGTGGTCAAGCTCCTAATTACCGATGAACATGATACGAGAGAGAGGGTTCTACAAGCCCTCAAACTTCTGTCTCATGATGTATGCATTCCAACGAGCGATCAGGTATGTGCCTGTGTATTTTGAGTGGAATCATTACAATTTCTGTGATTGGAAGCTAAGCAGCACAATTTTATGATTTTAATAATCAAACGTCGTGATAAAAAGGTGCACTTCGACTTCATGGTTGCTCTTGTAACTTATGTTACCTGATGTACAATCCATTTGATTGCATGCATTACTATGATATTGTGATTGATTAGCATTTTGTATCACGTCATGCTACTGTACAGTGACACCGATGTAACCTCAGGGTTCCGTGTAATATTACGGATATGTCAGTAGAAAGGAGTTAGTATAATGATAGACCAACATGATCCATTAGTAAATGTATATTAGGTTGATAGTTTGTAGATAGGGTGTACGTAATTATATGTGTGTAATATGACTTGACTTGTCAAGTCTTATAACGGTCACTTCTTTTAGCAAGCAAACCTTTCTACGGACAGCTGTTGTTTCTGATGGTGATGGATGTGGTTTTTGTGGAATTTTCCTTTAGATGTAATCCAATTAGCAGCATGACTGAAGATGAATGATAAAAAAGATTGATAACTGCGACTACTTTGGAAGTTTTAGTTTTAACATTTTATTCATGACAAATGATTTCAGATACAAATTAAAAACTTCACATAAACATTTGCCAATGACATGTTATGAATTTTGCACAAATGTGGTAATCCCATTTCACATGTATTTTAGGTGGGCTCTTCCTATACCGTCCCAAACTGCATGCAGCGCCCCCTTCCCACACTCAGGATAATACCCGAGTGTGTATTCCCACACTCAGTAGAATTGAGCCAGAGCGAGAGCGCCATCTGTCGTGGAGTTTGATAACGTCCTACTTGCCATCGGGTAATGCTATCCCCCGGGCATGGAGGGAGGTTACCGCAACGTGGCAGCACTAGTGTTAGGATTAGGGTTAGAACCAAGATAGCGTTAGCGTTAGTGTTAGGGTTAGCGTTGGAGGTGTTGGAGTTCGCATTACCGGATGAGTAATGATTTTGAAGTATACGTCAACTGTATCACGTGACCCTCTTTCCACGCCCGGGGGATAGCAACACCCCTTGCAATCTAGGCTTGTTTCTGCCACCTAGTGGCAGTTTTTGTCAATTATGAAATGACATTGCCGGGACAGACCCCATAATGCACTTGCAAGTTCAGTGTATAGATGTATCTTCATGCTAACATGTATGGGATTTGCTATTTGCAGAACAATACAGTGTTAGCCATACGTTCTCTCATTGCATTTTTTCGGATTACATTGCCAGGATTTACTTGAGTTTCTGCAGACGATGCAGAGCGAGTATACCAGACTGGTGCAGGTAGATGGTGCCGATGATTCCTACTTCTTACATCTCCATCAGTTGGCAAGCGATGTGCTAGAAGTGCTGCGGCGGTCAGCTGTCAAAGACGAATTGTGATAAATGTTTCAGAACCCAGAACGAAACTTTGGTAGCTTGTCTTTGTTTAAACAGCCAAAAATTTCATTTTGATAGGTGAAAGCGACATGTAAATAAATGTTAATAAAGTTACCACTGTTACTCATCATTATCTAAACTCGTATATAGGAAGTTGTTTTTCTAACTTTACTGTATAGTGTATACCTACTGGCATACTGGCGTTTGACATACTCGCAGCTCGGGCCGGCATACCTCCCAAATCCCATTGATTGATACAAATCACGTGCCTGAAACTCCTTGCTGTTTTAATAAAAAATTTTATGGTGCATTGTGACCCTAACCCTAACCCTAACACTAACCCTAACCCTAATTAAAATTTAATTAAAAAATTAACTCGATTTGTATCAATCAAACACACATTCCCCTCGATTCCCCCCCCCCCTAGTTCGACATGCACTTTCTGCGAGGTACAGATTTGTTTAAACAGGAATTATCTGCATATTGGCAAACGAACATCCGTGATGTGTAACTATGGAACGTTTCTGCTTATGGAAGTATTCTATTAGGAACTATAGTGATCGGATGTGCATGCGACGGGAGCAGTATCGGATGTGATCTTTTGTCACGCGTTTAGTCATACGATGCGTGATTCGCATATCAGGTGCTAATGGCCTGTGTGGACCTTGTCGTTGTTTGTCGTTGGTCAAAGATATTAATTAATATTGCCCTATGTAAAGTCATAGCTGTAACATGGCTGGTTTTCCGGTCACAGCGTAGGATTAAGTGCATTTATCACAATACAAGCCATGATATCTGACATGCTAGTGCACCTACGATACGTTGTCCACGCTGGCTTAAGGCCCATTCACACCAGAGCTACGCTCATCACGATCGCCCCACGCTCCAAATATTTGCCCGAGTGTGGTGAGCGTGGTTGAGAGCGTGGCCAATTGGGCCCCAGCCGGGCCCAGCGCCGATACTACGATCTTAGTGCGTCGATACTACGATCTTAGTGCGTCGATACTACGATCTAAGTGCGTCTTTACCCCGATCTCATTGCGCTCAACAAGCTTTCACCACACTCAACACCATGCCCGCATCACGCTTGCACTGCGCTCACTGCATATTTATTCCGACCAATCAGATCGCATTGCGTTCGAACAACGCTTGCACTGCGCCTAAGCAACGCTCACCGCGCCTCAACTGCACGCCAGTCACGCTCCTAGTGCGACTTAATCACGCTCTAGGCAGGCGCCGACTGCGATGGCAACGACCATATAAATACCGCGCCACGTTCTAGACATCATCATTCGTTCTGCCGTGGTGTTCACATCAAGATTATTGTATCCCCGAACGATGTTCGTGGGGATACTATGGGTTTGGCATCGTCGCGCCGCTGCCGCCGCCGCAGAGATTTCCTTGTGAACGCTCTACCGGCTGCAGTTCTTCTCGGATCATCTTCAAATTTCGCATGAAGGTGCGTTATCGTAAAGCGAAGACGCCAATCGTTTTTGGTGTTGGCAGAGTCATTGTTGCATTGGTAACAACATTTTTTGTCGAAATATTCTAGAACCTGTAACTTCTGCACTTTTTACCTGATTGTATTAAAATTTATATCTGTATTAAAAATTGTATATTTAATTTATATTAAAAAATTAAAACTTAAAGATTTAAAAATAAAATTTAAATTTAAAAATAAAAATTTAAATTTAATATTTGTATTAAAATTTGTATTTGTATTTATATTTAAATTTATGATTGTCATTGTAACCGGTTGTAAATCGAGTATGCTTGCCCGTCGATAGGTGGCAGCACGTGATTGTCGCGTGCGGGAATGAGCTCCCGGATTCGCGCGCAATACTCACTTCGGCTGTATGAGACAAGGGGAACGGAGCTGTGTAAAATCGGGAAGTGGAAGGACGTGGACTCGGACACCGCTCTTGTCTTCGCTCTCACGTTTTTTTGCAATAAAAGAAATCGCTACACTGGTAGGTTCGTCGGCGTACAGCTAGTTTGTTTTGCGCCAGCATCCTATTGCCAGCGCGCGTGCCCTGTACACTCACCACATTTTGGCGCAGTCGACAGGATTCCTGCAGTCGGAGTCACAGTGTACGAGAGAGGGAGAGAGAGCGGTAGAAGAATATGCTGGGGGGACGGAGTACGGATGGGACTGAGGCTGGCAACGATCAGCCAGCTGGAGATCAGCCTGGTGGTGTCTCAAAGGAGCCCGCTGTACAAGCGCTGGAGGATCTGCAGGGCTTGGTCAGAAGGCTGCAGGATGACCAGAAGCGAGTGAGTGACACCATCGATCAGCTGGGATCTAACGGGCAGCAGCCTCCTGCTCCTGCCCTGGTCTACCTTCCCCGAGAGAGAAAGGTTGACGTCTTCACGGGCCATGGTCAGGGACAGCCCCCAGTGGAGGAGTTCATGCTTGGCATGCAGCACCTGCTGAAAGCCAGGAGGCTATCGGGGACCGAGGGAGCAGACTTTGTTCTGAGTCATCTGGGAGGACCAGCGCGGCAAGAAACCCTGCTGCGCCCACATGCCCGAACAGCTGAGGAGGTTTTTGGTACTCTCCGTCATGTCTTTGGGGAGGCGCGGTCCGTGCCTCAGCTGTTGCGGGCCTTCTATGACAGAAGGCAGAGGGATGCTGAGAGCCTTAGGACGTACTCCTATGAACTTTACTCTCTGGTGGAGAAGGTCAGGGCCAGGGACCATCAGGCCTTCTCGGACTATGAACAAGCTCTCCGTGACCAGTTTGCTGAGGGAGTGCTGGACGCTCAGCTTCGGCGCCACTTAAAGCAGATGGTCCGGGAGAAACAGAACATAAACTTCCTCAACCTCTGTGAGGAGTCAGTAGCGTGGATGGAGGAGGACGAGCGGCGGCAGGCAACCCCTAGGGTCGCGGGTTGTCACCAGCTACTGCGGGACTCCCCCCAGCACCCTTCTCTGCCAGAGGCAGTGACACCACCAGGAGCGGACATGACCCAACTGCTAGCTGCAATGGAGCGGCAAGAGAGGGCACTGGCTGACCTAACTAGGGCAATAAGGGGCATGGCTACTGCGTCAGTTGCTCCACGGCCAACTCGCCCTACTCATAAGTTTTCGAGGACAGACAAAGAGAGTAGGGCATGTTATGAATGTGGAGTAGTTGGCCATTTTGCCCGGGACTGCCCCACCAAGCAGCGCCAGGCTACCACCTCCCAGCCATCGGGAAACTAGAGCCTGGCACCACTGCGAGCCATGTGGTGTCAGCCGGGATGGTTGGCTCATCACCTGTGTCCCAGGAGGCGTTGCTGCATAAGGTGATTGGAGCATGCCCAGTGACCAAAGTGGAGGTTGGTGGTGTGGCGGCTCATGCCCTGCTAGACAGTGGCTGTGAGGTTAGCACCATCGCAGAGTCGTTCTAGCGGAAACACTTTGACAGCCAGGATCTACTGGGGACTACACACTGGCTAAAGCTAACTGCAGCAAACGGGCTGGCCATCCCCTACGTGGGATACCTGGAACTGGTGTTGTGTGCTGGTCACTCTGTGCCAGGGCGGGGATTTCTCGTCGTAAAAGACTCTCAGGATCCCACTACAAAAGAGAGAAAGGACAAAGTGCCAGTGTTGCTCGGCATGAACATAATAGGCAAGTGCCACCAGGTTCTCCGTGAAGAGTTGGGAACTGCCTTTCTTCAAGAAGTCAGGACCTCCTGGCGAGGGTTCCTAGACCGACCTACCAAGGAGCAGTGTTCTGCACAGGCCATTGCAAGGGTAGCAGAGGCAGTAAGGATACCAGCTGGTGCTAAGAACGCCGTCAGGGTCACGGGTGGAAATGGTCGCAGTGACAAATGGGGTTTCCTTGTGGAGCCGCTACGTGATCCCCTGCCAGGTCACCTGACACTGATTAGCACGCTGTCACAGGCATGGGGAAACAGCCTTTATGTGCAGATTGCCAACCTGTCTGCTGAGGATGTGCACCTGAAGCCACGTACAAGGGTGGGTGTGGTCCACCGCGTCCAGGGTTTACACAGCCCCTCCAGTGTGATCTTTAAGCACGTGTCAGTGAATGAGGAACATGTCTCGATCCTCGCTGCAGCAGACTCAAGAGGCTGAGACTCGGCCACACTTGCCTTCCTTGGATACACTGCCCGGGTCGGTCACAGGAGAGCAGAGGTCCAAACTGGAGACGTTGCTGCAGCGCTTTTCTGATCTCTTTGTGACAGAGGAAGAGGACCTGGGGTTCAAAGATCGTGTGGCCCATAGCATCCCGACCACTGATGCTAGACCTGTCAAGCAGCCCTATCTCCGTATTCTCCCATCCCAGTATGAGGAGGTCGGGGACCACATCAATAGACTCCTTGCCAAAAGTGTTATCAGGGAAAGCTGTAGTCCATACTCATCCCCGATTGTTGTGGTGCGGAAGAAGAATGACAGTCTCCGGCTGTGTGTTGACTACCGTCAGCTGAATACCAGGACCGTAAAGGATGCATACCCCCTCCCCCGGATTGAGGAGTTGTGGGATGCCCTTAAAGATGCCAAGTATTTCTCTTCCCTGGATCTGGCTTCAGGGTATCACCAGGTGGCCATAAACCCTCCTGACCAGGCGAAGACGGCATTCACAACACCCTGACCTGTATGAATACACAAATGCCTTTCGGGCTCTGTAATGCGCCTGCCACGTTCCAACGACTGATGCAGGCGACCATGCAGGACCTGCTATTCAAAATTCTGCTTGTGTACCTGGATGACCTTTTAGTATACGCAGACACATTCGAAGGCCACCTGGAACGACTGGAAGTAGTGTTCACTCAGCTTCGGGAGGGTGGCCTCAAGCTCCAGCCCAGTAAGTGCCAGCTGGTCCAGGCCCAGACCACCTTCCCGGGACACGTCGTTTCAAGTGCCGGCATTGCCACCGACCCAGAGAAGACATCGGCTGTACAGCAGTGGCCTGTCCCTAAAATATCAAGGACATGCGCTCCTTCCTGGGGTTCTGCAGCTATTATAGGCGCTACATCCCCCGCTTCGCCAAAGTGGCTGGCCCACTTCATGACTTAGTGAATAAGTGCAACCGAGACGTGAAGCTTGGCCGTCGTCTACACCCTCCGTTTGTGGGTCGTTGGACGGACGTTCACCAGGGGGCCTTTAGTGAACTGAAATCAAGGTTTCTTAA